AGAGAGAGAGAGAGAGAGAGAGAGAGAGAGAGAGAGAGAGAGAGAGAGAGAGAGAGAGGAAGAAAGGAGAAAGAGACTTCTTATTCCTAGTCATCCTTACTCCCTAGCTTGTCCTACCGTCCTACCTAACGTTCCTTACGCTCCTTGGCGCCCCTTTGCTCACAGCCTTCGAGTGGCGGAAGAGGACGGAGGAGGAACGAGGTGCAAGGTGGTTGGCTATGGCGGAAGGGTGAAGGAAGTGGACGAGGTAGAAGGTGCAAAGTGTTTGGCTATGGTGGATGGGCGAAGGAGGTGGAGGAAGAAGAGTTGCCATTTGGCATGGAGGGATTGCCGGAGCCCGATGCGGACGCGATATTGTCTTCTCCTTCCCTTCTATGGTATTGGCTTGTGTGTGTGGCTTGATGTTGTTGTTTGTGCAGGTCCCTCTGATGATCCGTTGTGTGGCGCAGTGGTGAAAAGCGCTTTAGGAAGTCGCCACCTCCTCTTGCTGCACTTCCTGGTTATTCGAGAGTTTGGCGGAGATACCAGGCGGCTAACGAGCGACGTATCCGGTTTTCACCTTTGTCTGCGCCTTGCACGACCTTCTCCTCTACTGACGATGGAAGTCCACAACCACCGCATGGATTGCTAGAATGACTGAGGGAAGGAGGACAACAAGGAGAGGGATGGACCTTCGGATGATGAGGGGTTTCGTTTTTGGAGACAGTAGATTGTAAAAACGGTGGGGGTGGCGAGACTGGGTCTGGCGCTGGGTATAGAGAGTTGAGAGGGATGGTCTGCAATAAATAGGGGATATGGACGATAATACTACGAAAGGCGGTGGGAAAGATGTTGGTTGGGACTCTGGATGAGATGAAAGAAGGAAATGACAAGATGTGTTGATAAGGGAGTGAGATGGTTCGCATGAAACAAGGTTTCTGGCACTCACGAAGGATCGTGTTAGGTGTCGCTCACACTTCTTACAAAATCCACGGATCTGCGTGAAATCCGGGCGGGATTGCGCCTTTTTTCAGTCTACATTCTGCCCTGAGAGATAACGGGAGACGGGTACATCGTGGGTAGCGTCATCTGCAGATTTTACACCCAGGGGGCCGCATCATGGATTCCGATATCGCAATTTGTGCGATTACCTCTTTTGTTGTTATACTTGTTGCATATTTGGCATTGTTGGCGTCAGTTAATTCAGAAAAAGTGGATGTATGCAACTCTTGAGGAGGTGGATGTCGGGATCGAGGAGTTTGCGGTAGGGGGCATGATTCCTTAATAGGAGAGTTTTTGAAGATGGTCGAGCAATTCATAGCGAGACTAGCGGATGAAGGGTTGGGTTGAAGCGACTCTATTCGGGGATATCCTTGATTTCCGCTCGGCTAATTGCATAATAATTTGAATTCTAATTGATTCGTGGTCTGGAGATTTTTTCAATCTACTCACCTTCTCGTTTTTCCATGTTGGCTTGTCCACATATGTATGCATGAAATGATTACGATCGAGAGTTATGACTAAATGCCAAATATATCTGAGTGATCTGAGAATCGTTTTTTGCAGGTTGCAATGAATCAAATTAATCTAATAAGCCCACCAGGCCGCCTCTTGTGGAGCCATAGCATAGTATGCTATGTGTACAATACATAACACACACATGGGGGTATCCCCAAGGTGCTGTTTTAGGGTCGAATCCCTGGAACCCCGCATTAGTGACTTTTAGAAGCTTCAAAGTATTCACTCCTCCCCTACGATCTCCCTCATTATTATGTTTGTTGGCATTTGGATTTATTGTAATCATTTCTTAATAGTCTTTTTTCGAAATGAAAGTATGGTTATACCTTCGTTTTGATACGCTCTTGTTTAATGAAAATGGGTATGATTGTTATGTTCAAAGCATATAGACGTCGAACCAGGAAGCATTGAGTGTTAATGATCGATGGATCAGGCCGTGATAACGGAGCCTTAGCACTGTCTGCTATGGTTAATGATGATTTTTTTTTTTGGAAAAATTCAAAGGATTATTTTCGAGGAGCACACAATCAATCAATCAATCAAGGGACAACTGATCTTGGTTGACGTAGAAGAGAATGCCTGCCTGCCTGGGCCAGAATGATCGATGGATCGTTGCCGAATTCCACTTGAAGATCGATGGAGAAGGAGTGTTAATGATCGATGGATCGTTGCCGAATTCCAGTTGAAGAAGAGAATGCCTGCCTGGGCCAGAATGAAGAAGGAGAGTAAGGGACAACTGATCTTGGTTGACGTAGAAGTCTTTAAGAGTAGAGTACGGTCCCTCATAGACTCAGGGGCTACCCGTAGTTATATTAGTCGTAGAGCGCTGAAGAAGCTGAGGCTAGGATTGAAAGTCGAGAAGTTGGCAGACCCCATAATCAGTGTCCTCGCAGACAACCGCACAATGCGAGTTGAGGACTACGTAGAGGGAGTCCAGGCGTACTTCCGCCTAGAGAAAGATGGGAAGGTGGAGAAAGTTCTCCATTCCCTGAATCTCCTTGTACAGGATGATCTTCCTTTTGATATAGTGTTAGGAATGGATTGGGGAGAGGCAGCAGGGGGCACACTCCACTTGAGAGAGCATGAGTGTAGGCTCCCTAGTCCGTCAGGTGAGGTTAACGCTGCCCGCTTGTTTCATGTGTCACGTGTAGACAACACTCTGGCACATTGCTGTCTCAGTGCTCCCGCGTTCGCACGACTAGTGAGAAAGGAGCAACTAGAGGATCAGGTCTTTGTGGTATATGTCAGACCTGTCACTGAGCCTAAGGAAGGGGATAGCTCCACCGATCCAACCATTGCCAAGCTGCTGGAGGAGTTCAAAGATTTAACTGAGTCGTCGACAGGAGTGGTGCCGCGACCAATCCAGCACAGAATAGAAATAGAGCCTGGCAGTAGAACTCCTAAGGGAGCAGTCTACAGGATGTCCCCGAGGGAGTTAGAGTAGCTACGCAAGCAGTTGGACGAGCTCCTTGAGAAGGGTTGGATCAGGCCCAGTTCATCTCCTTTTGGAGCACCCGTCTTGTTTGTCCCCAAGAAGGAAGGAGAGTTGAGAATCGGTATAGACTACAGGGGTCTGAATGCAATTACAGTCAAGAATGTTGAACCACTGCCCAGGATAGACGATCTTTTAGATCGGGTGCAGGGTTGTAAGTATTTTTCGAAGATAGATCTGAAGTTCGGTTATCATCAGATAGAGGTCCATCTTGATGATCAGTACAAGACTGCCTTCCGGACTAGATACGGGCATTACGAGTTTATAGTGATGCCCTTTGGACTGACCAACGCGCCAGCTATATTTCAGCGTTGCATGAATGATCTGTTTAGACCTTGGTTGGATAGGTTCGTCGTAGTCTACTTAGACGACATCTTAGTATTCAGCAGGACCCTCCAAGAGCATCAGGGTTATTTGAGGCAGGTCTTGGAGAAGCTAAGAGAGGCTAACTTCAAGATCAACCCGAAGAAGTGTGAGTGGGCCAAGACACAAGTTTTGTACTTGGGCCATGTTTTAGATGAAGATGGCATTAAGCCTGAGGACAACAAAATAGCGGCAATTAGAGACTGGCCAACGCCCCGCACATTGACTCGATTGCGGTCGTTCCTAGGGCTAGCTAATTATTATAGGAAGTTTGTGAGGAACTTCTCCACTATCGTTGCTCCCTTGCGCAAGTTGCTAAAGAAAGAGGCAATCTGGCACTGGGATAAAGACTGTACGTCTGCGCTAAAGAAACTGAAGCGCGCGTTAATAAACTATCCTGTCCTCAAGGTAGCAGATCCGTCCTTGCCATTTGTCGTCACCACAGACGCAAGTCAATATGGTATAGGCGCCGTGTTGCAGCAAGATAACGGCAATGGCTATAGACCCGTAGAGTTCATGTCAGCGAGGATGCCCTCAAAGAAGGTAGCCACCTCGGCGTACGAGAGAGAACTCTACGCTCTCAGGCAGACCTTAGAGCACTGCAAGCACTACCTGCTTGGGAGGCACTTCAAAGTATACTCAAACCACGAAACTCTTAGATGGTTAAAGACCCAGGTCAAGATGACACCTAAGTTGACTAGGTGGGCCGCTGAGATAGACCAGTATGACTTTGAGCTCAAACCAGTCAAAGGCAAGTACGACATAGTTGCGGATGCTCTAAGTAGGAGATCAGACTACTTTGGAGCTATAGTACTCTATCTGGATATAGGGAAGGACCTGCAAGAGAGTCCGACAGGCGTATGCGCAGGACCCTATCTATAGTGACCTCCTCAAGAGAGTTAAGGAGGCCCCAGAGACTGAACCAGACTACTGCACTATTGAAGGACTATTGTTTGAGAAGACTAATGTAGTAGACCGCCTGTGCATTCCCAACAGTGAGGAAATTCGTAGTCTGATCCTAGGGGAATGCCACGACACAGAGGGACACTTTGGTTGGCAGAAGACTTTAGCCAATCTGATGAGTACATATACCTGGCCAGGAATGAAAGCTGACTGCATAGAGTATGTTCGCAGTTGCAACGTTTGCCAGAGAAACAAGACCACTACACGTGCCCCTCTAGGTCTTCTCAGACCCTTGCCTATCCCAGGCCAACCTGGAGATTCAGTCTCCATTGATTTCATGGATGTCGGTGTCAAGAGTAGACACGGCAAGAGCCAAGTCATGGTCATAGTTGATAGATTCAATAAATATGTAGTTTTTGTTCCTTAGCCTGCAGAGGCACGTACAGAGTTAGTCATTTAATTTTTTTTTTATCGTTGGATTAGTGATCACGGGGTTCCGCTGTCTATAGTCAGTGATAGAGACACAAGATTCACGAGTCAGAACTGGCTGGAACTAATGAGAGTCTACGGATCAAAGTTGCTGATGTCATCTGGCCGTCATCCAGAGACTAACGGTCAGACAAAACAAATGAACAAGATCCTGCAGCAAGTTCTGCGCATGTATATTAGACCGGATCAAGTCAATTGAGACGAGATGTTGCCCAAGGTAGCCAGCGCATACAATAACAACGTGCATTTGTCTACTTGTCGCACTCCCAACGAGTTTCACAAGTCCTTTAGACCCCGCAGACCGTTTGAAGGACTTACCCGGGATCAGATTCACAGGCTACCGCCCGGAACTAGGGAGTTCGCGATATAGCACGAGAGAGAGCTAGCAACTGTTGTTGAAAACCTCAGGAAGGCCCAACACCGCATGATAGAACAGACTAATAAGCACCGTCGCCCATAGCAGTTTCAGGTAGGCGACTTGGTCTGGGTCAAGTCTAAAGAGTTTGCACCTGAGGAGGACATCTCGCAGAAGTTACTGCCTGCATATAGAGGACCGTGGCCGGTTCTAGAAGTCAAGGGCGGAGAGGATGGACCGTCCTACACTATAGAGATTCCAGCACACCTCCACACCTACCCGGTGTTTCATGCTTCAAAGTTGTTGCCGTGTGCCACAAGTCAACAGTTCCCTTCAAGAAGATTCATGATCCCTCCGGATATGGATGGCAGATATGACATTGACGGAATTGCAGATGAAGATGTGTTCAGGACAGGAGGTAGGGGTCGTCCACAAAAACAGTACAAAGTCCGATTTGCATATCAGGAACCGGCACAAGGGAAATTCAACAGTCAAAGACAACTGTAGAGTCAAAGGTACCGTACCCAGGCCTATGGACGGATACATTCACTTGTTGTGTGCAGGTACCCAGACAACATTCAGGGCGGGAGAAATACAGTTTCTGGCCGATCTGGGCCCTCATTCATATCGAGATCTGGACGGTGCAGGACCTCAGTACCCGGGGTCCAGACCCCGCATCCACGCTATTTAAGAG